GTGTGTGTGTGTGTGTGTGTGTGTGTGTGTGTGTGTGTGTGTGTGTGTGTGTGTCTCAGAGATCTTCTGTTTTTCTCTGCTTCTCTTGTAAATAAATCACTCCTCTTTATAATTAATGGGCCTGAAGCTGAAGCCTACATTAGTTATGATAATAATAATATTTTACAATCAGAATCTAATATTGCAGAATTCTTCATGCAGCTCTCTGAACATGGCATGGCTTCAATGTTATTGTTTTTCTTTCTGTTTTTATAGAAAACTTCTGTACTTTAGTAGAAACATGAATGTTTTAAGACCCCTGGTGGAGCCTAACCCCCCTGTCCCCCCTGCAGACGTATCAGTCCAGTCCTGGCGGCCAGTCGTCCTGCAGCAGTGAGCCGTCGCCTCTCAGCAGCGCCAACAACATCGACAGTGGGGTAGAGATGGCCACGCACAGCGGGGGCAGCTTTGGGGACCTCAGCGCACAGGAAGAGTGCCCCGTGGTGGACTCCACCGTGTCCACCGGGGGTCAGCAGGTGGGGGTGGGACTGCAGCTGAGGAAGACCGCGGCGTATGGCGGCGCCGTCACCATCAAGTTGGAGAACATCAAGAAGGAGAGGCTGAAGACGGTGAGGGAGTCCTGCCCCTGGGTGAACACGGGACCACCGCAGGGCCAGCGCCACGCCATGAAGCTGCCCCCCATCCCTGCAGTCGGTAAGAGAGCCAGGATCTGTAGAGGTTCCCTGAACCCACCTCCACCTGTCAGCTAATGCTAACCCTTTAGCTGCGTGTGCTAACAGACTTTGTGTTTCCAGGTTCCCTGCTGGAGAACCCCACCCTGATGGGTAGCCTGGGCGGTCTGTACCCGGGTCAGCCCGGGGGGGACCTGTCCTCGTGTGAGGTAACCCTGCTGAACCAGCTGAACGAGCGCCGCGACAGCACCACCAGCACCCTCAGCTCCGCCTGCAGCCGCCGCTCCTCCGGCATCTCGCCCTGCTACTCTAGCCGTCGCTCCAGCGAGGCATCCCAGTTCGGGGCGAACCGCCACAACAACATCAGCTCAGCGGACTCCTACGACCCCATCTCCACGGACATGTCCCGCCGCTCCAGCGAGGCCAGCCACTGCGGAGGGGGCGGTCCCAGTCTGCTCAGCCTCACCCCGGCGCAGCATTATCGCCTCAAGGCCAAGTACGCCGCTGCCACCGGCGGAGCCCCGCCCACTCCGCTCCCGAACATGGACCGAATGAGCCTGAGGACACGGATGGCTCTATACGGTGAATCCCAGGACGGGTCGTTGCCCCTCTTCCACCAGCCGCCCTCCGGAGCAGCGCCGAGGCGGTGCAGCGACACAGGATACGCCTCTCAGAGCATGATGCCTCATGAAGTACCCGCCAACCTTCCACGCCGCGCCAGTGACCCGGTGCGTCGCCCCGCTCTGGACCCCCTCTCCTTCCCAAGAGTTCAACGCTACAACAGCATGAACAGCATGAACCCTGTGAACGCTCCATCAGCCGCCGAGCGCCATCACACCCTGGCCGCGCAGGGTTACACTCGCTCCGACGGCAGCCTCCAGCGTTACCCGTTTGGCCCTCGGCCACCCAGCATTTCTGAGCATGTGGCCATGGAGAACATGGCGGTGGATGGAGCCGTGCCTGCAGAGGACGACATGGTGCTTCCAGATGACGTGGTTCAGTACCTCAGGTCTCAGAACTCTGGAGCGTCAGGTCACAACTACAACCACCACAGTCAGACTCAGGGTTACCAGGCGAGCATGGCCCCGCCCCCAGCCTTCCACGGACACAGGAGGATGGCCATGGTGGATGCCAGCATGGCTCAGGCTGGTCAGGTGGGTCCCAGTGGCTCCCAGCAGGCTTTCCCCCCACCGTCGGACCACATGAAGAACATGCCAGTCCAGTGGAACGAGGTGAGCTCAGGGACGATGGAGACCACCACAAAGATCTCCAAGCAACACGTTGGCAGAGGAAACCTGGCTGTTGTTCAGCAGAGGCACAACTTCGGCTCCCTTCAAACTCAGGGCCTGAGCAGCAACCAGCAGGTGGTGCCCATGAACCAGAGCATGTCTGTGCAGGGCTACATGAACCACAGCAACCAGAGGATGCTCAGCCTGTCCCTGCAGCAGAGGCAGGTCATGAGCGGGGGCTTCAATCAACCGTTGAGTCACCAACAGACTGGGAACATACAACCTGCTCAAAACAGTGTGGCAAACCCAGAACTGCAGAGCTACCGAACCAGGACCCAGATGGAGGGCTACGCCCAGGTGGACCAGCATGGGGTTCACAATGGTCCCAGAGGGATGCTACTACCCAGGCCCCCCGCAGAACCCAGGTTCAGACAACACGTCTATCCTAACGTGACCCAGCCGAGCCGAGCCCCCAAAGTGTCCGATCTGGGTCAGCGTCACGGCATAGACTCATCTGAGGCCAGCCCAAAGAGGAACTCGGAGAACACTGCTCTAGTCTACACGGCTCAGATCCACATGTTTGAGCCCGCCGCTGTGGGCCTCGACACCTCCATGTCCCCCTGCAACCCCCCCGAGGCCAACATGGCCTCCCCGGGAACCAACCAGGTCTCCAGCAGCACGGCCGACTCCTCCACCAGCAGGTCGGGAGGGGCGGAGCACGCTCAGATCGACTTCGACACCACGCTGGACGATGGGGACCACTCCAGCCTCATGTCGGGGACGCTGAGTCCCGGTCTCCTGCAGAGCCTGTCCCAGAGCTCGTCCCGTCTCACCACCCCCCGCAACTCCGTCACGCTGGCGTCCGTCCCGGCGGGGATCAGCAACATGGCAATCGGGGACATGAGCTCCATGCTCACCGCTCTGGCTGAAGAAAGCAAGTTCCTCAACATGATCAGCTGAGACCCCCACAACCCCCACACCCCCCTTACCCACACCAGGTCCTTCAGGATGTCCTGAACTCCTCAATGAAAGCACTGATTGTACAAACCAAAACTGGTTCTCTCAGACGGAGTCACTTCCTGTCTGATCAGGAAGCTTCACAGTAAAAACAGCTAGGGTTGCATTATGGGATAAATCTTGTGACAACAGGAACTGAATTTGAATTGCTCAGATTGAATCTGAATGTATGTTAGTGCTGGACGCTATACCGTTTTGTACCGAAAACCGGTTTTTATTTTTGCCATGATATGACTTTTCTGAAAACAGGTGTAAATAGCCTGAACACGTGCGGAACGTTTCGTCGTGGCCGCCAGTGAACTGTTTCCCTGGGGACACGTTTCCTTGCAGCACCGCTAAACGCATTAGCATGCTAACGTTATTGTTGGAACAACTGGCGGCGGGTGGTGTGTTTCAGCTGCTTATATGGTTTTACATTAAAAAACATCCCGTTGTCACCATTGCTGAATAGTAAACAACTCTTCAGTGATGTACACGGTTAGATTTAACGCACTACGTTATAATGGAGACGTTATTGCATGGAGACTCTAGCGTGCTTCTATTGTGAAAAGCCCGGGGGGAAGTAGTTTTGTAGTGTAGCTGAGTTGACTGGTGTGTAAGGTGAGTCGTCCTTTTAAGTTTTATTAACACGTAACGATAGACCAGATAATGATCTCTTCTCAACCCTTCACGATCGGACCTAAATGCATGATTACTGTTTACAACCAGGCAGAGAAGAAAAGACGTTTAGAGGAGGGTAACAGTAATACAGAGGTACAGTACAAGAAAAAATTAATAAGCAAAGTTTGTACATTTTATTATCAGCTGAGCTGTGAGGAAAAAAAATCGTCAAATACCATGAAACCGGTGTAATTGTTGAAAATACCGAGATATAAAATTTGGGTCATACCACCCAGCGCTAATGTTCATAATTTGAAACTGAATGCATTGGTTTGAAAAGGAATTTCATTAAATTTAAACTGAATTTAAAGTTTTGTATTTGAATTAATTTACTTTGAAACTGTATTTTGGTTTATTAAAAATTCAGTTTGACTACTTTCACTTTCAGTTCCATAATTCAGATTTTTGTGTCACATCCTGGTCCTTGAGAAAGCCAGGCAGAGTAATCAAACACAGATCACATCATGGATCAGTCAGCAGCAGCATCTGATCAATATGTGATCCATGATGTGATCATGTAAATGTAACATTTTCTGCATACAGGTCAAATTAATCACTGCAATAAAATAACTTTGTTTTTGTCACTTTTACAGTGGATTGCATCAACTCTGTTACATCCAGAAGGGAAACTTCACCAAAGTGAAACATAAATCTGTGGATCTGTGTTTGATTACTCTGCCTGGCTTTCTCAAGGACCAGGATGTGACACAAAAATCTGAACTATGGAACTGAAAGTGAAAGTAGTCAAACTGAATTTTTAATAAACCAAAATACAGTTTCAAAGCAAATTAATTCAGATACAAAACTTTAAATTCAGTTTAAATTTAGTGAAATTTATTTTCAAATCAATGCATTCAGTTTCTAATTCTGCACATTCAGATTTAATCTGAGCAAATTCAAATTCACTTCCTGCTGGCACAAGATTTATCCCGTATTGCATTTTATCGTGTTTCTTTGAAAAGCCATATTTTTAGCAGCGTTTGATGATAGCCCAGGGTTTATACAAAACATTGGAACAAAAACCGTTCAGTATTTTTGGTGTGACAGGCTTTTATAACGTGGTGCACTGAAAGACGTTCACATTGTGCCTTTCTGAGGACATCACCAGGAAAACCAGCATGTAGAGACCAGACCGTGTTTTTCTCTACATTCTACTTTATGGTAACTGCTTTAATTTATGTTAAAGGCTTTTTTATGTTTAAACTGGGGCTGCCAGAAGTTCAGAAACATCAAAATTAATTCTTTTATCAGTTTTAGTCGCAGAAAGTTCAAACGTAATTATCAGTTAAAAATGTCTGCACATGCATTCAGCCAAAAACCTTCAAACACTTCACTGTCATTTTGTTCACTTAGTTCAAATTTGATCTGTAACCTGATGAAAAGAACACCTCATATTTACAGTGGGCTTCAGTAGAAAGGTAAATATCTTACCTGCTGCAGGTAAAAATAGAAGCTGAAGCTTTGAGCTTAAAATTCTTATTTTTTCTCCAAACTTCTGACCTTTTAATCTAGAGTCAAATATTTCACTTTGATCACTCAGATCAACATTTATTGTTTATTTTTGCACTTACTCCCCTCTGTTCACTAAATGAAAATGCTCAACAAGCTGTTTCTGTTGTTGCATCTTTAGCTGTTGGAACAAACACAATAAAAGGTTGTTTTTTTTTATAAACTTTGAACCTAAATCTGACTGAAATGAAAGCAGCAGGGTTCAGTAATGAAGCGTTTCTGTGGCAGCCCTGGTTTGAATGTTAGCAGGACTCTGATGTTCCTCTCTGGCCCCCCGGATCAGAGACTTGAGCCCCCCCCCCCCATCCCCGTGGTTCTGGTTCAGGCTCTGGAGGGGAGAAGAACAGAACGTGACATGTGAACAACGCCTCCATGTTCCTCCATCAGATCTGATGAAGGCCCGTCTCTAAAAGAATATCCAAGTAGCTCTGAGTGTTCTCAGCAGAGACCCGGCTCTAATTAACACCCCCACCCCCCGCGCCCCCCCACGGGTCCAGGATGAACTGTAGAGTCCACCAGGGGACTCAGACTTTGAAAGTGAAATCCTGTTTTGGACAAACTCTCATCAGAGTCTTGACTTTTTCTTGTTTGCTGGATTTCTCTAAATGTTTTTGTGTACGCTTTCATATCCGCTCTGTGTGTCTGTATATAGATTTTGTACATTTCAAAATAAAATAAAATATCTCTTTGTTTCTGTTAAAACTCCTGCTCTGTGGCTTCTGCTGTGGATCTAAGGACCAACAGAGTCTCCGGACCTCAGGCGTCTTCGTCCTCCATGGTGCCGTTTGGTTCGTCGAACCAGAACCTGAAATTTAACGAGTTTTAATTAAATAAACACAAACTAAAATAAAAATAGTTCAGATTAATGCTGTGATCTTGGTCCGTCTAAACTCTCTTACATCAAACCAGAGATCCTCAGGTGGACTGAACCAGTCCAGGACCTTTAACTGGTTCTTCAGGGTTTCAGTCCGTTTGGTTTTCCTCAAGCGTTTCTGTTTTTTTTTTTTGGCTCCATCCTTGTTGAAAACATCCCCTCATCATGATGCAGCCACCGCCGTGCTTCACTGCAGGGATGTGTTCTCAGCGTGATGACACCCAAACATGTTGGTGTCCTGATGTTTGGATTCATCTGAGACCAGAACCAGCTTAAACCAGGAGGAAGGTGGTCCGATGTGGGCCACAGGAGGAAGGAAGGTGGTCCGACTCGTTTCTCATGTTGGTGAGAAGAAAGGAGTTTTATTTTGGCGGGTCGGTTCAGCTCAGTCGCTGAGTTTTAGCTGTTTTTGTGTTTGACCTCTGACCTCTGAGGTGAGGTCATCATAATAAGGTGAACCTCTGTTCTGGGATAAGAGGACCAGGACTTGTGTCTGCTTTGGTACTAGACCTATCTGACCCGGTCCAGTCTGGATGAGCCTCGGGGGGGTCCTGTGATGAAGGACGTCATTGTGGTCTTAGAGTCCAGGGTCAGAACCAGATCTATGTGACCCCTCTTGGTTTGTGCTGTGTTTCCGGGCCGGGGTCAGAACCTCTGAGTGSGCTGCAGAGGAATGCAGCCGGGGATCTTTTTAAAGACTTGATGGACTGGGTGACCTGGTCTCAGCTGAGACCCCCTGGTTCAGGGTCTGTGACCCCCTGCCTCTGATCCGATCTTTGTTTCTCTAGAATCAGAACCTCTTTAATCTTTTATAAAAGTCGATTCCTGCAGCGGAAAAATAAAACCTGCTCCAGTTTCTGATTGTTTGTTTGGTTTAGCTCGGGCCCACACGACCCAAGAGGTTCTGAAAAGCCACAGAGATGATGCAACCGAGGCGGTTTGGTTTCTGCTGCAGCCAAAACCACAATCAGATTTTTCCTGAAGCAAAACCTGAACTTTTGACCTTTTTAACAAAGAGTTCTTTCTATCTGAGAGTTTTTACCTGCAGAGCTCTAATTATCCTGAAGAACAGGATCCGTTCTTCTTTCTGAAGCCGGGTCGGAGCTAACAGTCGTCCAATCATAAGTCAACCTGAGCATGAATGAGTCAGACCAACATAAAACCAGATCATCTGACAGCTCTCTGCAGTCTGAGGTAGAAACATCCAGAAAAGATTAATCTTCATTCTGCACACATTTATAGTTTCAGCTGCATGTTTCACCAAATAACTGTAAAAAAAAAAACTCCATCTATCACTTGGCTTTTAAAGAGCTCTGCAACATGTTGGCTTTTAGCACCCCGAGTGTCAAAATGCTCCATTTTAGGTGACAAATCTCACATGTGAGCATCTGCTCAACCGTCCCCAACAAGCCCACGTTTCAGAGTTTGGACTGAAATCTGTAACCATGTGGGGTCACTTCAAAGATGCTGCTTGCTTTGGTTCAGGGCTGAAGTATCAGTGAAAAGAAACTAAAGTTTGTTTTTAAAGAAAAGTTTTAGGTTTATTTTTTACAAATCAACAAACATGTTTTCACACAGCGAAGCTTTTACCTTCAACAAAAACTGAATCCTCCAGAAGTTCAGCCAAATAATCCTTTACGTTTAGTTCAATTTAGAGTAAATGATGTTGAGGAAGAAGCTTTTTTCTTTCTGCTATTTTTTTACTTTTTTGTGCTTCTTTCTGCTAATTGGAGCTATTTGTGCTTCTTAAAGTTGATTTCTGCTATATTCAGCTATTTGATCTGATATTATAATGTTCAGCTGTTATAAAAAAACTAATTCACAATTCAATGACTATTTTAGCTTCTTTTTGCTTCATTCAGAAAACTTGCGCTCCTTATGCTAATTTAAGAATTTATGGCTACATTTTAGCCGTTTTAATGTGCATTTTGGCTGTTTTAGCTATTTTTACAATAAATGATTACTTTTCTGTGCTTTTATGCTTTTTTTGTTCAATTAAAATTTTTACAACTTGTTTATTTGGGTGCTAATTTCAATTTGGGGCTGCTGCCTTTAGCTTATTTTTGTGCTAATTTTAATTTTTCTGCTATTTTAATTCTGCTTCTTTCTGCTATTCTGCTAATTTCTACTTTTTTGTGC